GGAATGGCTATTGTCTGGCTAATTATGTTTTTCACCACAGGGCTCAGCATCGGTCAGGCTGTAAATCATGACCAGATAATGACCTTCACCTGGACACCTCTGCCCTCGCCCCCCGTGCCACTTTGGGTCAAGACAGAGGTCTGAGCTGGCAATGAGCCCGACGGCAATTTAGCTCATTAAGAGGAGCAAATCAAGAAGTCAAAAGGCCTGAATAACACAGGGGTTTAAGTTTGTCCTTAGTCTCTGTTCACTTCAAGTTTCAAAAATAAATTGGATCAAGTTTTATATTCATGAAAAAAATGTTATGGGTAGTGTAACATTTTGAACAAAACTCAACACACATACATACCAAGGCTGCACAATATATCATAATTAAAACATAATTACAATTTGAAGTTGCAGAAATTATCATATTGCAGAGGCTGCAGTTATGTAGGTAACAGGATGATTACTGTGGAAATCTGGTTGTAGTTTAGACCTTAACAAACTTAAATGTTCTGAAATGTATGAGCCTTATCAGTTCATATTTCAGTCTGGAATGGTTTTCTATCCGCACTTTTAACAAAATCCTATTTTTTAAAACTATACATTGCAAATATAATTGGAATTAGATATTGGATAAATATAGTTCTGCAGGTGTCAGTGGAATTAATGTGGATTAAGTATAATTTAGTGACCAAACCAGGACAGTTTTTGAGGCACATGCTTAAACTGTCTCATTATAATATACAGCCTTGATGATGCAAGTAAATAACCATAGCAATTTTCTTCTTCTTTTTCTTTTTCATTTTCATCCGCAGGTATTTCCAGCTGCAGCCGGTATATTTTACATCGAGTATCTAAAAACACATCATGGAACAAAATGATTTCTATTGTGCAATTTAGTTTTTCATTTTCCATCAGAATCCTGCATAATACAGCAATTAGTACATTCCAAGCACCAATGTCCATTCATTTTGTTCTGCAAAAAATGAATCAGAGATACAAATGTGAAAATTACCACAACCCAATCACAGTTATTATTATGCAAATGTTAACCTCAAATCATTGCCATTATGCATCTGCATGCATTTTAACAATCCAGAAAATATTCTAAACTGTATAATAATCGAATCATCATTTCTAACATGCTTTAATATAGGTTAAAGTTTAAAGTGTTCCACAGTATAGTCCAATGAGATTCATTTGGTCTTCCGATATTTTATGTTATTAGGTTCTTTTAACAGACCAAGAGTTTGTTTTCATACCTCACAGTTTCAACTGCTCACTACCGGTCTTCTTCAGAGTGGTCACGTGATGTTGCTGTGATGTGTCGGTCAGCTGATTTATACAGGTTTTGGTGCTGTCTTCCTACAGGTGCAGGCAGGATGACAGCGTCATCTGCAGTCCGACTTCCTCAGGACAGTATCCTAGGTGTGTGAGAGTAAAAAAGCCCCCTTGTCTCAGTTTATAGTCCCGTGGGCACGTATTTCAGTGGCCTCTTTAATCCAGCGGCGATGTTTGTTTTACACAAACATCCTGCCTCCACCAGTAGGAAGACTGCGCCAAAACCTGTATAAATCAGCTGACCGATATGTCACAGCAACATCACGTGACCACTCTGCAGAAAACCGCTAGTGAGCAGTCAAAACTGTCAGGTATGAAAACAAACTCTTAGTCTGTAAAATGAACCTAATAACATGTTCCACAGTATGTCATTAAACTGAGCTCCTTTAAGACAAGCAGATGACGCTACCAGGCCAAGTTGCAGATCAGATCTATGGAGAGAAAAGCTTGCTCACTGTAAGAATGTATGTTTTTCAAGGTCTTCTGAGTAATAAAATGTAATAGAATGGAATAAATGCAGGATACCTTTAGATGCCATGGAGTTCTACCAGAAAAGTTACACAGTGCACCATTAAGATGCCAACTGTTACTGTTTAATTTGATACTGAATTAATAAAACAAACTCAAAAGTGACTGCACATTGTGTTTGAATCCACCACATGTGTAAAGGTGATAGACTTAGTTGACTTTTCCCTGGAGCAGATGTAGTTTGACATAATTTTCTGGACCATCCACAGAGACACAGTTTAATATGAGAAAGGGATAATGCCTGTGTGTGCATATGTGCAGAAGTCATTGTGCGAGTGTAATGTGCAGGTGATCTGATTCCTCTTGAGTGTGGCTCGTGAGGTGGTGGAGGAGATTAGTGCACCGTGCTTCTATAATTACCTTTCGCCTCTCTCTCCTCTTCAACTAAACTCAATGGGGAGTGCCAGAAGAGAGTGGAGATCTCCTGACTACAATGTATCATATAGGACAGGGCTATTCCTAGAGAGGTACATTTCACTCAAAATGCTCATTGGAAAACACCCACGCCACCATTAAGTGACAAAGGGCAGCCCGTTGCTCTTTCACACATGTTTTAGCTTGGTTCTTCCAGCGCTAACCGGCTTACAGGTTAGAATGACTCACCTCTCATTCCCACACAAGAAAACATGCTTAGGAACCTATTTTTACATGACAGACCCACACGATGTATGCGTTTTCTCGTTACATACAAATGTAACCATCACATGTTTGAGACCTATAATCCTAAATCATTTTCTTATCTGCAATTGAACATGTCTGAGGCTAGCATGTCTAATAACAATGCTATTATAAAGTTTTGAGAACAGTCAATTAACCATGCAATACACATTTAAAAAACCCATTAAAATTACGCTGAGAGCAAATTGCCTGGCCACGATGAGTAGCTAACCATCTGCCTCTAACTGTCTGGCAGAGCTATTAAAAAGCATAGGATATCATGTGGACTGTGGGCATAGTACAGCCCATTGACAGGCGGGATGGTGGAGGTGTGATTTGGAGTGGGGCGAGGTACACTAGAGTGCACCAGAAAATTGAGCCTCAAAGTATTGTTATAATGTATATTACTACGCTTATTGCATAAACTAAAATGCAAAAGTCTTATGATTGCCCAGCGAGGTTCATTTGGTCTTCAGATAATTTACTTCATTAGATTTTGCGAGAAGGAAACAGTGAAAGCACAAGCAATAAAACACAAAGCAGAACAGGTACAACTTAAATCGTCCATTTCTAATCAAGAGAAAACCACATTGTGGGCTGGGATGGAGCAAACATCATTGGGACAGAGGACAACAAACATCTTCGCTGGATTAAAGAGGGAATTGAAAAACAGAAACATCCCCACAGAACAATAAACCAGGATGAAGGGGCTTTTTTACTCTCACACACCTGGGATACTGTCCTGAAGAAGTTGGATTGCAGATGGCACTATAATATCACCTCAACCAGTAGGAAGACAGCAAAAAAGCCTGTTTAAATCAGTTAACTACACATAGCAACATCACAGGGCCACTTTGAGGAAGACTACTACTGAGCAGATGAAACTGTATGAAAAAATATTGTTCCACAAAAATTATGAAATGAATGAAATAAATACTATGGTATGTGAAAGATATAGTGCTCATTCTGCAACAGTTCTAGTTTAGGGGTAAATATTATTTTTACACTATACACTAAAGAACAAAAGCCTACAGTTATTAAGACAACATTCTCAAAATCATACAAAAACCTTAAAACATTTCCATATACAAGTCTTTCACTTGCTTGGCCAAAAAACAAAATGTCTAAATGCACCCTCTCCAAACCTTGCCTCTCAAAAAAAACAAGGTTATAAAAAGGAAAATATAAACCTCTTTCAAATTGTCTTTCCAGGGAGCTGCAGTGGAGGGGATCAAACCAGTCAAGTGTGTAGTGTAGTCTGGGGAAGCCGTACAGCGCTGCGTGTTTGTCCAAGCGCGTCCGCCGGCTCACTGTGTGGGTTGACTGACATGACTCCCGGTGCCTCTGTGCCTAAGTCTAGTGGATCCCTTTTATTCAGTGGAACAAAACCTTCCATCTACAGAAAGTTTTCAACAAAGAGCCAAAAGAAAATCAGCTTCTTCTATGCTCACTCACCCACACAGACCTGCGTATGCCTCCTTCACGGTTTTCTAATAATAAACAAAACTCAACAAAATGCAGCTACAATAGATCACAATGATGTATTTTTGCTGCTCCCAAACATGAATAAATCCAAGAGGGTATGTGATAAAAGGCTTGCTTAAAACGTGTAAATATACAAAAACAGCACAGGAAACCTCAGATGAAGAGATATGTGAGGGAACTGTTGAGCTGTTAATGAATTGGCCCCAGCTGTCTGGACAAGCCTTTACCATCCTCATGTGATCACGCGTTTACGCAGCTGTAGACATCTTTCGGACAAGAGAAAAATGTGTAATTCATGATCTAAATGAAAGCAGTAATAAACCAATGAGATGTTGTGGAGACAGCTCAAGAGAACGTTACTCAAGTAAGTCCTGTACGTACGTGCTGCCCCCAATGAGCGCTTCATTATAAGCCAATAGAAACCTTAAGTGCCCATCGCGCTCATTAAGTGTGGATACAGCGCACCCGAACCTGAGATGATTTACAAGGCCGTGCAAGGCAAAACTAACACAATAATATTAAATTACGCAGCTTAAAAGCTTAAATATTTATCCAATTATAAAAAGAGTTTCAATTATTAACAGAGAAACAATAACGTGCTCTCCCATCTCAGCCATTTCAGCAACTTTAAATATGAGTAAACGTGCCAATTGCCAAATATCATCCAACACACGCACCCACACGCGCAGACACACGCAACAATGGGATGAGGAGATTCAGTATGTGCGTTTTACTTGAAAATTGGCCATAGTCAGAAAATGTTATTGATTTTAAAACATAATACAGAGCCGCAATGCAAGTGTGATTCAAAGTTGTCCCTATAATAAGAACTGAGTGAGGAGGAATTTGTTGCCAATATTTCGATAACAGGTTGTAGATTTTCCAAAGCGCACCAAGTTCATTCTACTCTCATCTTTCCATACTGAATCTTTTCATCCATAGAAAATATTTTTTTCACACAAAACACAGTCAATCCATGTTAATTGTAATATGTCGTAACTTACCAGTTAGTTGGTCATAGGACCCGTCCAGCTCCCTGGAGTCCGTCAAGCTTTGGTCGCGGTTTTTCGCTTTCATGTTTTCCCTCCTCGTGCGGCTGCTGTGCGCCGAAATGTAAACTCAAGAACAACAGTGTCTAGTCTTAACTAACTAACCGCGGTTTTCTCTCTTTGTCAGCGTGCGTTAACATGTCATAATGGAGTAAGAGGGATGAAATGTGAAATGTGCAATGTAAATGAGTGCGTGTCTGTGGTTTGCGTGTGCGCTCTGTGATTCCAGGAGTAGAGTGACTGAACCAAGCGCGCGACTTTTCCTTTGGCTCGTCTCTCACTCCCTCTCCGCTCTCTCACAGCCGCTGTTACGCGCACACGCACACTCACTCATCAGCACACTGGCATCCATTCATAACACAAAAAAGCACCAGGTACAATGGTCAATTAACCCTTACGTAAACAGAAGGTCGGCGTAAATGTTCAAAAGTACCGCGCGTTTTTGGCACCGGTGCTTTTCGCATTTTTGCAGCAAAGCAATAAGGAGTTGGGAAGCGCTGTCAGACACTTTGAGACTCCGTGTGATCTATAAATACTCGCTGGTGCTGCTCGGGGAACCTGCGCTGTTTCTACATGTCTTCTTCTCCCATGAGTGCCATTGCCTCCGCTCCTCTTCACACAATCGCCCTGACATTTGGGCACAATCTGTTAAACTGTGTCTGTGGAGCCATTTTGGTATCCGTCCATTGTTTAGTCTCCTCATTTATTAGCTATTCATAATCTGTACTATATTAAGATGTGAGTCATGTAATTATGCTGATTATTGAAGAAATTTCAGATGCACTTTGACCTCTGCCAAATGGAGGCTGGGAGCACTCTCACGTCAGCTATATCTCTTAGGAATCAATACAGTGAATCTTAATAAGATGTCTGTCACACAAAAAGAAGGTTATATCTGATACACACATTCTTATGCTAACAGAAAGCTGATGTAGGCTTTTATTTATTGTTGGGGGCTGTTATCTCTTGCATAAAAAGGAGGGTGTGGTAGGGTACTTTTCAATAACATCGTGCGGGAGGATTTGGTAAATTGATTAGGAAAGAAATAATGAATGACCATTGTCCAGATCACCTCGTCCCACTGTTCTTGAGATGTTGCAGCACCTGAACATAACTCAGTTATAGATGGGTGTGTGAAAATATTGAAATATCATGATACAAAATCTGGTGACAGTTTTGTTAACGTGGACAGTTGTATTACATGAGTATTTTCACCTTTTTCTTTTCTTGTTTTTTTGTTTTGTTTTTTTGTTAGATTGTTTTGTTTTGTTTTTGTTTATTTGTGACTGCACTACAATTTTGGTGCTTATTTAATGGAGGGAAACTAGTTCATAAATTACACTTGACATATTCACAGTTTTCATGTATTTCATATTAACTTTGCACAAGTAATGGTTTAACAAAGAAATACTGTTGTTCTAAAAAATGTCTGTATGTTATTTGTTAATTTGGGACAGTAGAAAAAAGGGGTGGGGTTAAATAAGTATTTACTTCCTCCCACTCCTTTTCGGACACAAGTAAAATCTGTGTGACATTTATTTTTGTTTATTATTATAGATAAGAAATATTTACTTTTTGTATAATATCAATGTATTTATGTACATATAACAACAGGAATATATCAAAGAGTATCATGAGCTTTATATCAGTTATCACCATATCATGATAATATCGTCTTGCGAGCTACGTATCGTGTATTGTATCGGATCGTGTTGTGCATTCCTTTTACTTTTTTGTTTTTACTATTTCTTCAATAAATTATTTTCAGTTCAATCCTAGACTCAATACCCAATTAAAACAGTTTAAGAAAAGTGTAAAAAAAATATATATTTAGCCCTCTGTAAAACATTGAATTTGCTCAAACCTTTCCTTGATGCTCACAACGGCATAATGGCTAATTAGCCCATGTTGTGTGCGTGTCTATGACCCTGCACGTGCCGTCACATGAATCTGTCGAGCGGGGTGAAAAATGCTATGTTTGCTTATTTGTGGTAGGTAAATTGCATAAACAAGCTAAATTATCACCATTTTCAGCCAAGCGTACAGGTTTGAAAAAAGGGTGCATTTCAAAGGTTCATCTCTATAAGTTGAGTTAAGGGCATGGCACGCTGTTGATTCTCCCACTGCTAAAGCTGATTTGAAGCTCCATGTGGTTAATAAACAGTATGAAGGCCTCAACAACTACAAGTCCTGCTTTTTCTGTCATCTAATACCAACAAAATATTTCACAGATACGGCCCATTGGTTAGTGATTGGATTCTGGTGCGTAGTAAATGGAAGGAGACAAGGAGAGGTGAATTCCAAATGAAGGTTAGGAGGAATGCGTGAGATTGGTGGAAGTGCGCAGATCGATTTATGAAGCGCTGGAGGGGATTTGGTGATTTAGAGACGAAATAGACAATCGTGAAGTGGCTGATGAGAATGCTGTCTGAGGCTGCAGTCTACAGTGCTGGAGGCAGGGACAACCGAGTCAAGAAATAAGGAAAAGGACAGTGCAGTGAACTACAGGAACACTTGTTGTAAGTCACATTAACAGACACCGGGCAAAGAGCCAGAGGGACAAACACCACTGTTTAGTTTTCTGTTTTTTGGACTCAATAAAATCACAGGGCAAATAACGTCAAAAAGCTACATGACACAATATTTAAAGAAATATAAATAACAGTGTTTTACCACCACTATTAGGGCACAGTTAACTGGCTAGTCACAATGAAACCTAAAGTCTCACTCCACTCCATCTTATTATAGGTATTAGGTTATAGTTTATCTTAAAATTATTAATTTTAAATATTACATTGAGTGGATATAGTAGTAGTAGTAGAAGTGTTTAACATGTTCTCTGTGACATCCACACGCAGCTCCCTGTCCACTCTCTGACCTGTCGACAAAAACCTCATAGGCGTTACATTACACCGGAAATGCACGAGCCGACACTCCCTCTGATTAGAGCTAGCCGGCCACCATTGTACACAAAGCCAATTGGAACATAGAATGAGGGAATCTTGTGTTCCTTCTTCTGTCAGTCAGCCAGATAAACAAATGGTCTATCAAACTATTTTTGGAGCCGACATAAACAGCATGGCTATTGCTGTAAATAAATTCTTCATTCAACAGTTCAATCACTTCAAGCATGTATGCACTTTGTTTGTATAACACATCTCAGCTGTAAAATTACCCAAAATGTACAAATCCCAGTATCTACCTGAACCACTTCTTAACAGGATTATCCTCATTCACTAAACCCTGGAAACATGAACCCTGACATGCAGGTGAGGGGGTTTCTGTGTGTGAATGTTAAGCACTGTGGAAAATAATTGAAGAAAGTCATTGGATGCTGAAATAAGGTGGATATCTGTTGATGGTTAGTGAGAAGATGGTTGATGTCCCTAAAGCATCATCAATACAAATAAATCAGACCAGTCACACTTTTTGGATCTCAGTGAATGCCTAAGTTAGCCCTCTGGTCTTGGCATTACTGAATGCGCTAAAATGCTCCCATTATATTAATAATGCTTAACCAGCGGACTCCCAAACAAGCTCTGAATGTGAGATTTGTCCATAAGTGTCATATATTCTCACTTAGGCAAGATCTGTCTATACTTGATAAATCTGGCGTGTAAAAATGTCTTTGCCATCAATTTCCGCACAAGCCAAGAAGCATCGGCAGACCAGTTTTGCACTTACAGCAGAAAAGATGGGAGTAAGAAGGATTAGTGCAAAGTGCTGTCATTGAGGGTGTTTTCAAAGTGGAAAAGTAGAAGAACTTCTTGTTAAGTGGCATTAAAAACACTTCAAACAGAGAGTGACATGTCATCTCATTATTCTGCAGAGATAGTGACCCGGGGCTCAGAGCTGACAGCCGCAGACATAAGGCTCACTCCAGCTCAATGAGAGATTGATGATGTCCAGAGAGACACACATACAAACACGCACCCAAACATACAAAATCAACAAAAACATACCCACGGAAAACATGTCAATAAAAGTTGTCCGTCTTACACTGCAGACAAGTGACATAATCAAAAATGTAATGATCCTTTTCATTAAAATAACTTTTTAATATGACAGATTTGAAATTTATCTGAAGCAGTATTACTAATAAAGTTATAATGTGGCAGTATTTTACTTACCTTAACTTATTTAGATCACATGTTACTCTTTTTATATAGCAAAAGAAAAATTATATTCTGTCAACAGGACAAAGGTTTGTTGAGTGATGATGTTTCATAGCTCATCAGCTTCTTCAGTTCTGAACTTGCAGAAGATGTGCAAATTAGATATAGTTGTCAAATGAAATAAATTGTTGAAAACAAACAGACACCTACCAAATGGATAATAGGCCATTTCCTGATAAAATACCAGTGCCACTTTGATTTTATTATACAATTTGCAAATTAAGACAACTCTTTGCTGTATTTTGTTCCCTCTGCAAATACAATTGCAAACACAATTATAATATGTTCTATTTGATTGTATCAGAAGGACTAACAGATGGTTTTCTCTGGCACTGGAGGCAGCTATTTTGAGTTAGTACCATTGATTAATCCACACAGTATGCTGCCGCTGTGAATAAAAGTTATGAAAGACAATGAATTTACTCTATGGGCTTTAAACTTTAAATAGTAGAGAATTTGCTATAGGCTCATAAATGTCACTTCCTTATGTATACCTTTAATATCACACAGTGGCTCCCAACCAGTTACCACAACCTTAAAACAACAATGTTCTTCTTGCTCTCCTCTGCAGGCTGTACTTTTCAATGTACTTGTATCAGTAATGCAAAGTGACTGTCTACTCCCACTGGCTTCTCTTTAAATGTACATGGCCTGTGGTAGCTTCTGATTTATACAGGAATTAATAATTAAGGCTTTGTTGCTTGTTTCTTTATAAAACCAAAGGATAAGTGCATTAACATTTGAAATTATTTTATGGAGTTTGAAAAACTGCCAGAGTCAACTACAAAAATATTAGAAGCAAAAGGTGTGATCCACAAATAGATCACATGTCCACACTGGATACAGGTGACAC